CTCAGTTGTATTTTAGCTCCAGACTCAGAAAACCAGCAAAACCAGGTGGGCCACACCAGGGCCAGATGCATTGACTCAGGACCCCCTGCCCTGACACTGACCAATCAGTGAGGACCACGTCCCTGAAGAAGCATGCCTGGAAAACTGATGAATATTCTGTTGAGATTCCTGCCTGCAAGGGAGACACAAAAGCCTTAGGACAAAGGACCCTGCCTGCTCTCCTTCCCAGGAACTGCCCACGTCTCCCCACCACCTCCTTCCCCCACAGGCATGCATCTCCTAAACTAAGGGACCCCACGAGATGCAACCAGGGCGGCAATGGGCAGAGCCATCCATCCCGGGAAAACCCCCTAAACCTGTCCTCAAGGTCCCCTTTTCTCTGATTTCTTAAGGAGCCAAAGCAGCCCAGCCTGGGCTCATTCCCCAGCCCTTTCTGGTTTCACTGACCCCAGCTTTAATAAACGTCCTCTAAAATTCACCTGGACTTGGGTTGTGAAATTTTTCCTGCACAAAGTTGGGAACCCACACTGCTGGCTGGCCCCAGGCAGACCCGCTCGGGGCAGGTCCCCTTTCCAGGAACAGGACCACACACAGCTGTCCTCGTGGTTATCCCGTTGCCCGAATACCACCTCCATGTGCCGTAAATGTTAACGAACTGTCCTGTACACAGCAGTGGAGAGAAGTATGTGTTTCTGGATTGATTTTGCCTTTTCATCCAGTCTCAGAGATTTCCTCACTTTGCTTTCTCCCACCCCCTTCCTCTACCACCAATGGATTTCATGTAACCTTCCTTAAGTTTCCTTTTATTTGAATATATAAAATAAGCTGCAAAACTGCCCTTTTCTGGAGCATTTTCTCAATCTTTTTGAGATTTTGTTTCCATGCAATTATCATCAGTTTGACTCAAATAAACTCATACAAATTATCTACAGGTCTGAATGTTTTCTTACATTGACAAAGGATAATAAATAGTCTCCTTTATTTTGGTTTCTTAGACAGCCTCGGGCTAAGGGTCTCAGATCCTCCTATATAATATCAGCGTGAGGATTCTAATAAAATTTTGAAAGCGAATCTCCAGGCTCTTCAGTTTGGTCTCTGACCCTGCTCCAGTGGCCAGGTGATTTTCTGTCTATACTGTGCCTCTACCTGACCTACCGCACTCCCCGTACTGTCTTTTCAACACAAATCTTGTTTTATTAATCTGTTTTGCAGACTCCATGGGGAACTGAAGTATTGGCTCATGCCTTGTGATCCCCATCCCCCCTGCTGAACATGCCTTATGGCTCCAACGGTTGACCATATCCTGTGACTCCGCCTGCTGCCATGAGTCAACCAAATCTACCCATTGCTATCTCCCAAACCCACCTGCTGACCACTGAGTCAGCCAGCCCTTGAAAGTCCAGCTGCCCCCAATCAGGAAATGAAGGACATAAGTTTACGTTCTTCCTTCCCTAGCAGCCCATCCCTTGGACTCTTGCTTTTAAAACCCTTGCCTTATGCTTCCCACCTCAGAGCACATCTTCAGTTCAGGCGGAAGGCTACGTTCTTTCCTTTGCAAATCCTATCAGAATAAAACGCCGTCTCATTGCTCAGAAGAGGGCTATGGAATGTTCGCTTATGTGCATTCGATGGGATCTTGAGGACCTGGTCTACCCTGACGTTTTACAGGTTGGGGACCCTGTCCCAGAAACACTGCCCAAAGTCACACAGCCAGTTCCCTGAGAAGTCAAGCCTGGAGCGGCTTCTCTCCCCTTCCACTGTCCTCTTCATACCGTGCTGCTGGCCCTGCTTCTTATAACATAACACAAACAGCGAATTCCTCCTTCCCTGCGAGGGTGGGAGGGAGCAGATGAATACCCCAAATACCAGACTCTGCCAGTGCTGCCAGTCTTCACACAGGCCTCACTGCAACGGACTGGTTATCAGCTCAGAGAGAGACTGAGACAAGCGAAATCCATCTGTTATTGTCCACGTAACTTTCGAGAAATGAGCCCATGGTCATTGTGAAGTAATTGCCACCATGAGTCTACTTGGTTGAGATCTTAACCTCAGAGGCCAGAAAACAGGTGGGTAACTTCATTCATGGCTTTGATGGGCTTAGAGAGAACACTTTCCCCAAATTACCCCTCTGGACTAATGTTCTGCTTGCTAGCAAACCACTCTTCTTTGTTACTTAAGACAATGAAGGCTATGAAAACAATAATCATCCCAACAACTGACATTCCCAGCGGAGGGCGTTGTACTAACGTGCTTGACATGCATTAGCTTATTCAGGTGGTTCTCACCACAACACTGTGCCATCAACACTGTATTCTCCCCAATTCACAGATGGAAAAATTAGAGAAATTAAGCACCCCGCCCAAGGCCCCACAGCCAAAGAGACTAGAGCGCCTTCCAATCTGGGCAGGCTGCACGAGCCAGGTGGCCTAGGGCAAGTCACTCACCTCTCAGAACTTCAGTTTGTGATGTCAACTGGAGATAATCATACCTGCCTCACAGGTGTGTCATGCAGATTGGATATAATACATGCTATGTGCTTAGTAGAGACTCCACACCGCAACACATTCTTCATACAGATTTTCGTGTCCTCTTCCTGTTGCTCTCACTTACTATACAAAACTCAGGGGAGAACGTATTCCTTCTCTTAATGCTTCCATGGGAATAAGAATGAAAGGAGGACTCTGAGGACCTGGGAGACCACGGGATAGGGACACAGTAGAGAACCCTGAGGACACACCACAGTCTAGTCCAAGTCTGACGGCCAGTGGAAGACAGGCTAATATCCATGCATAAATCTAGACAGGAGATATTTAGGGACTGAACAATGGAGAGCCTCAGTTGATTAGTAAAAGGAATTATTCCTGGACCTCTTGGGGATTCCCAAAGTGAGCTCCTTTCTAGAGTGATACAGCCATGACCCAGGCTAGTTACAGAGAGCAATGCCAGCATCTCACACACCCTCCCATCTGATCCTCACAGCAACACAGGCTGTAAAGGTTATTTTGCCTATTTTATAGAAGAGACTACAAATCCAAGTTTGCTTGACTCATAAGCCCATGACCTTAAAACTGACTTAGAAAAGACTGGTTGCTGGGGCGGGGGTGAATCAAAAGAGGAAATAATATTATGAAAGCAGTATTTCACAAATTTCCTGACTAAGAAACCAAAGTTGGAAACTTTCTCTTTGCAGAACACATCTCTCCTTTCTGAGTGCCCTTGGAGAAGCAGCCACTCCACACTTCGGAGGTTTTACGCTACAGATCCACCTTCTCAAGAAGACACTTTTCAAGGTCCCAGGAAAGTCATAATGGTCCAGCTTGAGCCAGCTGTCTTCTACTGTCTGTACTGGTTGGGAAGGAGCACGGACACGGCAAGCGGGAACCACCCCTGGGAACTGCAGGGCACAGAGAAAGGCGACTGATGCTGGGGGGGTGAACACTAGAAAGGGGTCTTCCTAGCTACACTCTTTTCCTAGAGGATGTTCAAGCATTTATTCATTTCAGAAAATTCAAACCTAACATGGCCTGTATTAACATAAGCATGCATTGAGGAACATGTAATAAAGATGTTAGGTGCCTTGTCCAGCCGGTGTGGCTCAGGGGTTGAGCATCAACCCAGGCACCAAGAGGTCGCCGGTTTGATTCCTGTTCAGGGCACATGCCCAGGTTGTGGGCCAAATCCCAGTGGGGGGCATGCAGGTGGCGGCCAATCGATGTTTTCTCTCATCAATGTTTCTATCTCTCTCTCCCCCTTACTTCCTCTCTCTCTCAAATCAATAAAGGAAAAAGAAAGAAAGAAAGAAAGAAAGAAAGAAAGAAAGAAAGAAAGAAAGAAAGAAAGAAAGAAGAAAGAAAGAAAGAAAGAAAGAAAGAAAGAAAGAAAGAAAGAAAGAAAGATGTTAGGTGCCCCAAATTGATTACTTCAGGCAGAGAAATGAGTAAGCCTAGAATGTGGGGTAGCTAATTAAAGTGCACCAGGCCAGTGGCTTGATGTAAATATTATTTTAGTTCCTGTGGCCATGCTGTCTGATAGAGAGAAAAAAAAACAAAAAACACATACATCATTTTAGTAGCCACTTTTTTTTAAGTGAAAGGAAAGAGGTAAATTCATGTTAAATAATGTCTTTTATTTAACACAATATCCAAAATATTATCATTTCAACTTGTACTCAATATTGAATAGTATTAATGATCTAGTTTACATTTTTGTACTAAGCCTTCAACAGTCGAATTTGTATTTTATATTTATAGCACACCTCAATTTGGATACACTGTTTTCATTGGAAATACCTGATCTGGATTAGTCTTCCTAAAATACACAGTTAAATGAGTAGAGTTGTAATCATATCCCATTAGTTTACACCATCTCTCATTACTTACATAGGATAAAGTTAATCCAAGTCAGGACTTGCGGTTATGACCTGCTGAGCTGGTCTATTGCGCAGAGACTCCTCCGGGGTAGGTGATCATGTAGAAAACGGCCATGCTGCGATGGTGGCCTGCTCCACCACAAAAAGACGGACCTGGAGCCTGGGAGATACATTCGTTCACCTCTTTGCCTGGCCTATGCGACAGCAAATCATTTCATAGATGACTAAATAGGATTTTCGTGATTCTAGAGATTTTTTTTTTTTGCATTTAAAGAATGTAGTTTCCTCAGGAGGAGCTCTTCTGAAATGTGACAGTTGCATATGGGGGTCAGGAGGAGCTGATGAGTGCAAATCAGTGGTGACAAATTGCAAGCATTTGACATTTGTCTCCTGCTGGTAATTCTGTGGACAGAAGGTACTAGCAGGAAGACAACAGCCTGTGTGGAGAGCATCAGGGCAAGACGTCCAGGATGAATGACAGGTCTGAGCCCCCGGGAGAAGCCATCTGGATAATGGTCAAAGGTAAAATCAGGCAAAGACAACACAGCCTGACGACCTCTGCTCTGGTACCTGGAAAGCCCCCCCCCCCCTACCAGAAAATACAGGCCCCAGCCCCTTCGGCCCAGCCTTCTCACACTCTCCTTCTCGTGGTGGGGCCTCGACTCCCCCTAGGCTTTTTCTTGTTTGTGTTTTGATTCGAGGAAGGAAGAGATCGCTCCATCTCCCTTTTCTTGGCCTCCCAGTCTTGGTCCCACTGGTCCAGCGGCAGCCCCTGCTGCCTGGCAGTGCGGCGGTGGTCCCGGCACGCGGGCTCGGCCCTGGGGGGGAGACAGGGCTCTCAGGGGCATGCAGGGAGCTGGGCCTCTCTTCCCACCCTCGGCACAGAGCCTGGGTGCCCCAGGGGTCCACGCCAAAGGAAGGAGGCCCCGTTCAAGCATTTCCAAGCGTACACTTAGGGAGGGCTCCGACATTAAAGAAACCCTTGGAGGTGGAGAAAAACCATACGCCGGGAGTGGATGTTAGCAGACTCAAAGCCAGCACCCAGCGTGAAGAAGGCACCAATTCTGGGTTGTTGTTTTTTTTGGTACGTGCCCCTAGTGGGAACCGAACCCAGGACTCTCTGGTCCGCAGGCCGATACTCCAACCACTGAGGCAAACCAGCCAGGGCAAAAGCACCAATTCTTAACAGTGCTCACCTTTAGACAACAACCAGCACATTATTACGAGCTGTTTCTCTTTTCTTTTGTTTTAGGGAGAGAGGGAGGAAGAGAGAGAGAGAAACATCAATGTGAGAGAGACACATCGAGTGGCCGCCACCCACACAACCCCAACCGGGGCCGGGGACAAACTGCAACCGAGGTACGTGCCCTTAGCAGGAACCGAACCGAGGACTCTCTTGTCCACTGGCTAACGCTCTAACCACTGAGCCAAACTGGCCAGGGCTGAGGCTGTTTTTCTTAATCTACTGGAAATTTTATTTTCTTTCTAGTTATGAGAGCCACGTTTGTTCACTGTAGAAAGTTTAAAAGTACAGAAACATAAGGAAGAAAATAAAAATGATTCATAATTACATATGCAGCATATGTATAGATGAATTCATGTAGAGAATCGTTACAGACAATAGGTAGATAGATGATAGATGAATAGATTTCCATGGGTTCATGGACAATGAGCAGTGTATATATGTACCAGTTTGTATATGGGGCAAAGATGAGTGTGAGACTTGCTTAAAGACTGGTAAAAATCACCCTAGCCAGTTTTGCTCAGCAGTTAGAGCATCAGCCCGCAGACCAGAGAGTCCCAGGTTCCGTTCCTGCTAAAGGCACGTACCTCGGTTGCAGTTGGTCCCCGGCCCCGGTTGGGGTCGTGTGGGTGGCAGCCAGTCGATGTGTCTCTCTTGCATTGATGTTTCTCTCTCTCTCTTCCTCCCTCTCTTCTTCCCGTTCTATCTGAAGATGAATGCAATCCTCGGGTGAGGATTAAAAAAAAAAAAAAAGGTAAAAGCCACTTCACAGAGATAAAATCTTAGCCAACATGAGGATCAATGGAAGGAATTTGAGATGAAGAATGATGGTCCAGGCAGGGCAAACAGTATTTTAAGTGCAAAACATCACACAAAGCACAGCTCATTCAGAGGATAGCAAGTCTGTGTGCCCTTAGCCCTGTTCTCCCCAAGAGCTGGACGTGACCTCTCAATAATCAGACCACATACCTTGTGTCCTTGTCAACAGTCAGTGTCCCCGCCCCTGCCCTGTGCTTAGGACCCTGGTCCTGTGTTGCTGTTTGTTATTTAGGTAAACATGTTATCTCCCCTGCAGACAAAGAAATTCTTGATGTCCCAGTACTCTATCTGATTTATCTTCCAATCCCTTTTAGAATCTAGTTCCATGCCTTACACATAGCAGGACTCCCAAGTATGTGTTGAATGAGAGATGTACTACTTAGTGAGGCTGGAGCAAAAGTTGAATTGTCCTGCTAGGATCCCTGGAATTTTCAGAAAATTGTCAGATACTGTCTAGACTTCTTTCAAAACTCTCTTACAGCCTGGCTGGTGTGGCTCAGTGGCCTGAGAGGTCTGGGTTTGATTCCCGGTCAGGGCACATGCCCGGGTTGTGGGCTCAGTCCCCAACAGGGGGCGTGCAGAAGGCAGCTGATCAATGTTTCTCTATCACATGGGTGTTTCTATCTCTCTCACCCTTCCTCTCTCTCTAAAAAATCAATAAAAGCATATTTTTAAAAAACCCCAAAAACAAAAAACTCTCTTACATCTGTCCTCTTCAGCATCCTTGCCCAGGAGCTCACCTTGCAACATAAATTTTTAAGAAATTCCTTAAGTGATCTCCTTGCCTACAGTGCATGTGCCTGCAGTCCTATCCGCACAGCACCGCGGCCCCTTCCACTGCAGGAGTGACTGTGATCAGTCCCCTAACGAGCTCACCCTCATACGCTTGCCCAGCTCACTACGGTCGCCAACCCACCCCCTCAACCCCATTCTCCACTTCTCTCCAGAGCGATGCTCTGCTTTGCCAGGCCACTCCACTCTTCCTCCTCACCTCCATGTACGCACAGCCTACGCATAACCTTGGCATCTTTCCTCCCAATCAAGAAACTTTCTCTCTACTTCCTGGGCCAGGTCGTAGACATCTTTCAAGGTCCCGATGAATTTCCCCTTGACCAGGATTCCTTCTCTCTAAACCCATGACTGTCAGAGGGAAGTTCCTGGAGAGGATAAGTAGAGATGACTTCCACATGATGCGTTTTTTTGTCTGCTCAGCATAGTCTGCCTGGTTTTCCTGGTAACAGCACTCCCGACTATTTGGAGGAACCACTCCTCCCCCACTCCAGTTATTCCCGGTGCCTTTCATGCTCAGCCACCCCGCTGGTCACTGGGGGGAGCTGAGATTACTCAGGGAAAGTCTGGAGGAAAGACAAGGACAGGACCCCGAGGAAAGTCAGCATCTGCAAAGCATGCAGAAATGGGAGCGTAGACAAAATGACGAGCGGCCGTGGTCAGAGAGGTAGGTAGAAGGAGAATTAGAAGAGAGTATAGCATCAGATAAAGCAAGAGAGGAGGGGTTCAAGACTATCAGATATCAAGTTAAGTGGAGGTGAAATGTGACTTGGGAAGAGGCCATTGATTTATCAACAAGACTCCCTGGTAACTTGGATGGGAGCTGATTCAGCACAATGGCCTGTCTCACACCGTGTCCCATTTTCAAACTTGGTGGCTCACCCCTCTTATCTGAGATCACTTTTGTTTAATCTAAAACAATAATTATAATAATTATATGTTATGGTATTAAAATTATAATAATATGTAATTATAGAAATGATAATTTTGTATAATTTAAAAATAATAGATTTTGCATAATTTAACACACTACAGTTTTCACACCAAATTAGTCATTTCCGTGAAAAATTAATAAAACAACTCAAACAACAGTTGCCTGGATTTCTTCATTTGGTTTTCAGCGACCTGAGATCACTGAGTTGGCAAAGGCCTTGATCGCAGGCTCCCGTTTCTCTCCCTTTCTGTGGCTGGGAAGAGGTGGAACTTACTTCTCCAGGAACGCCACGCAGGCTTTCTGCCCGTAGATCTGCGCGATCCTCTTCGGGGTGTCTCCGAAGAAGTCAGGGGCGTCGATGGCGGCGTGCAATGCATGGAGAGTTTGGAGCACCTTCAGGTGGCCCGACTCAGCTGCAAAATGAGCTGGGGTCCAGCCCACGTCAGTTACCAGGCAGGGTCTGGCTCCGTATCGTATGAGGAGCTTCAGCACCTCCAAATGCCCTTAAATGCACCAAGAAGGAAAAGGGGGAATCAAATCTAGGAATATACCCTAAGAAGCCTGAAACACCAATCGCAAAGAATATATGTACCCCCATCTTTATAGCAGCACTATTTATAATACCTAAGATCTGGAAACAGCCCAAGTGTCCATCAGCAGACGAATGGATAAAAAAGCTGTGGTACATATACACAATGGAGTATTATGCAGCGGTAAGAAAGAAAGATCTCTTATCCTTTGAGACGACATGGAGGGACCTCGAAAGTATTATACTAAGCAAAACAAGCCAAGCAAAGAAAGACAAGTATCATATGATCTCACTTATTTGTGGAATATAATGAACATAACAGTTTGAAGAACAGGGTAGTCCCAGAGACGTGGAAGTAGGGTACAGACTGACAATCCCCAGAAAAGGGGGTGGGCAGGGAGAGATAAACCACAGAACTTATATGCATGTATGCATGAAGAATGGACATGGACAACAAAGCTGGGGACAGGGCGGGGAGGGAGGGGAAGGAGGGTGTCAATGAGGGAAAAAGGAGAAACATCTGTAACAAAAATAAATTTAAAAAAGAAAATTAAAATAGAAAAGAAAGGAAAAAAAAAGTGAGAAAGTGAAGATTAAGATGTCTCTTCTGGCCTGAGACCAGGGCTAGTCTGGAGAGCACAAAGGAGGGCCTTTGAGGCCCCTCCCATGTCCTAGTATCTTTCCCTCCCTTTCCCTCTTCCCAGGAGGGACGCAGTGCCCCACCCTTGCCCCCAGGAACCAAGCGCTCACCCAGGGGCTGAGGCCCTCTGAGTATTCCCGCAGCTCCTTCCCAGACACTCCCCTCCCAAGTCCCTGCACCTGCCTATGCCCGCTGGCAAGACTCGCTGCTTTTGGCTGTCTAAAGGCTGATTTCAAAAACAAATATTTTGCTACAACATGGATGGACCTTGAGGGCATTATGCTAAGTCAGACAGAGAAGGATAGATATCATATGATCTCACATGTGGAATCTAAAAAACAAAACCTGCGCTCATGGGTACAGAGAATAGATTATACGGGCGGTTCTAGAGGTGGGGGTGGGGGTGAAGTGGGTGAAGGTGGTCAAAGGGTACAAAGTGCCCGTTATAAAATAAAAGGTCATGCTAAGAGAATAGGCCTTACAAGTTATGACAAGAGAAAAGTTCTTGTAACTGTGGATGGCGATGGATGTTAACTAGACTCTTTGTGGTGATCATTTCACAATAGATACAAAAATGAAACCATTATGTTGTACACCTGTAACTGATATGATATTGCAAGTTGATTATACCTCAACTAGAGACTTCCGGTCAAGACGGCGGCGTAGGTAACCGCGGTATCTGTCCTCCCACAACCACATCAAAGTTACAACTAAACTACAGAACAACCATCATTCAAAACCACCTGAAATCAAGCTGAATAAAAGTCCTACAACTACGGAATTAAAGCAGCAGCCACATCCAGACTGGTAGGAGGGGCACAGGCGGACAGGCTGGTCCCACACCCACGTGTGGCAGATAAAAATCAGGACGACACCCTGAGGACTGGGGGGGGGGGGGTCCTCGTCCCACACCAGATGCCCTGCTCAGGGTTCCAGTGCCAGGCAGAGAAGTCCCCATCACTTCTGGCTGGAAAAACCAGCGGGAACTGAGGCTCAGGGAGGCTGAAGCGGCTGGAGCCCCAGGCAGCTCCCTAAAGGGCCCGCGCACAGACTTATCGGACTCTCTCCCTCTAAGCTCGGAGGGGAGGCAGCTCGAGGGGCACCAGAGACATACAGGGAAGAACTGAGCTGTTTGGCACTGGAGCGAGGGCTGGAGAGGGGGCTTCTTCGGGGACAAACGTGCTGTAAGAGGCCTTTGTTCCTTTGGTGAGCCCTTCCGGGGGGCGGCAGACAGAAGCCATATCTGGGACTCCAGCAACCTGGCTCACACTGGTAGCCCCACCCTGGTGACTCCCTGAGGCCCCGCCCCGCCCCACCCAACTTTCAGGCCCACCCAAGCTGTTGCCACTTGCTTAACCATAGGATTGGCCTGTCTTGGATCCTGCTTCAGGTTTTTCCTAAATTCTTTCAAACCAGCACCATCTGGTCTCAGACAGCCCCATACCGCTCATTAAGTAATACACAGAAACAAACACAGGGAGGCAGCCAAAATGAGGAGACAAAGAAACAGGTTCCAAATGAAAGAACAGAACAAAACCCCAAGAAAAGAGCTAAGCAAAATGGAGATAAGCAACCTAACAGATGCTGAGTTCAAAATACTGCTTATAAGGATGCTCAATGAACTTAGTGAGGGCCTCAGTGAACTTAGTGAGGGCCTCAAGAGCATAAAAAAGGACCAGTCAGAAATGAAGGATGCACAGTCAGAAATGAAGGAGGCATTAACTGAAATAAAGAATAATTTACACAGATTCAATAGTAGAGAAGGTAAAGCCAAGGAGCAAACCATCGATTTGGAATATAAGGAAGCAAAAAATGCCCAATAAGAACAGCAAAAAGAAAAAAGAATCCCCAAAAATGATGGTGTAAGGAGCCTCTGGGACAACTTTAAGCATAACAACATTCGCATCTTGGGGGTGCCAGAAGGAGAAGAGAGAGAACAAGAAATTGAAAACCTGTTTGAAACAATAATGGCAGAAAACTTTCCTAACTTGGTGAAGGAAACAGACATACAAGTCCAGGAAGCACACAGAGTCCCAAACAAGATGAACCCCAAGAGGCCCACACCAAGACACATCATCATCAAAATGCAAAAGGTTCAAGACAAAGAGAGAATCTTAAAAGCATCAAGAGAAGGGCAGCTAGTTACCTACAAGGGAGTTCCCATAAGGCTGTCATCTGATTTCTCAAAAGAAACTTTGCAGGCCAGAAGGGAGTGGCAAGAAATATTCAGAGTGATGAAAAGCTAGAACTTACAACCAAGATTACTCTATCCTGCAAAGCTGACATTTAAAATTGATGGCCATATAAAGAGTTTCCCAGACAAGAAAAAGTTAAAGGAGTTCATCACCACCAAATCATTATTATATGAAATGATGAAGGGTCTTTTTGAAGAAAAAGGTAAAATATATGAACAAACAAAATGGCAGTGAATACATATCTATCAACAATGGAATCCACAAACAAAATGAAGAGGTAGAGCAGAAACATTCTCATAGATACAGAGAACATTTTGTTGGTTGCCAGATGGGAGGGGGTTGGGGGAATGGGTGAAAAAGGTGAAGGGATTAAGAAGAACAAATTCATTGCTAGACTGACAAACCTCAAAGGGAAAGGGGTTGGGGGGTGGGAAGAAATAAACCAAAGAAGTTATATGCATAACCAATGGACACAGACAATAGCGTGGGAAAAGGCGGGAGGGGGGTGGGAGTGGGGACGAGGGGTCAATGGGGGAAAAATGAGGAACATCTGTAATACATTCTACATTCAACAATAAAGATTTAAAATTAAAAAATATATATATATATATATATTTGAGCCCTAGCCGGTTTGGCTTAGCAGTTAGTGTGTCGGCCTGCGGTCCAGAGAGAACGGGGTTCGGTTTCCGCTAAGGGCGCGTACCTCGGTTGCAGTTTGTCCCCGCCCCTGGTTGGGTTGTGCGGGTGGCAGCCACTCGATGTGCCCCTTTCACATCGATGTTTCTCTCTCTCTCTCCCTCCCACTTTATCTGAACAAAAAATGGAAAAATGTCCTTAGGTGAGGATAAAGAAAAAAAAATATTTGAAGTCCCACTTACATTATAGCTAGCAAAGAGATTAATTGCACAGGCTTTCCAGCCAGATAGATGGGGGTTCATAGTTAATGATAAACAGCATTTACTAACGATGGCACCCTGGACAAGCGGCAGATATCTAAGGGTCCGTTTTCTCATTTATAAACTAAGAATATCACTGCTTGGGTTGCAGCCAAAGTCTCCAACTCCCCCCTCCCTTGATATATACCAAGGTCTCCAGCTTCTTCCTCCCTTGATATATGAAAATAATTCTGAGAAACAAGATGTTCCAGATCACTACCCCAGATATCCAGGTTGAACCACCCTGGGAGTGGAGATCCCCTTGGTCTCCTTGCGGTTATACCTACGCAAGTAGCAAATCACATTGTCCTCTCCCTCTCAGGGCTGCCAGCCCCTCACCCATACACCCCCTGTATAACCCTGCCTGTTAGAGTCTGGCGCTGACCCCGCCTTAGGAGTCAGCTGCGCAGGTAACTCCCCAGTAAAGTTCTCTTGCCCGAACCCAGGTGTGTTCCTCCTTCGGCCAACCTTTCAGTCACCACCTACCTCACTGAGTTCTTGTGAAGTGCAAGTGCAATCGCAGATCTAAAGCACATAGTACAGTCCCCAGCATTAGCAAATGTTTGCTACAAGGTGTGCTAGCACTGAAATTTCTGCAGAACCCTCCCAACCGATTTCTCTGCGGCTGGTTTTGCTTCCTGCCAACCCATTCTCCAGACAGGAACCAAGACCGTTTCTTAGCAAGCAAGGCGGACTGCCGGCCCTGGCTGGTGGTGTGTCGACGTGTCTCTCTCGCAATGATGTTTCTCTCTCTCTCTTTATCCCTCTCTCCCTCCCACTCTATGTGAAGATAAATACAAAAATGTCCTCCCTGAGGACAAATAAAAAAATAAAAAATAAAAAAAGGAAAGCAAGGTGGATTATATAACACTTTCTTTCACAACATTCTTTAATGGTGTTCTGTTGCCAAAGGCCTTGGCAAGCCCACTGGCAGAATTTCTGCCACCGCACTCCTCCAGGCCTGTAACTGAGCCGTGGTAGGCACAGAGGATACAGCAATGACCAGGACAGAGTCCTGTCCTATTGCAGGAAGAACGCTTCCATCCGGTTCGATGTCAGGAGGGCAGGGGACGAGTAGTATTGATGGGCACGGCACCCCATCACCTCACGGAATCCTCGCCACGAGACAGCATTACTGTCTCCATTCTGGAGATGAAGAAACTGAGGCCTCGAGACATTGCCTAACTTGTTAAGGTGCTCCCAC